TAAATCCCTCAAAGAAATTTGCCAGATTTGCTAAATGATGCTATAGATTTCTTTGGAATGTACAGAATAAGTAAAAAGAATTGTATTTTATGGACAGTGAGTGTGTTATCTTTGTTCTGCTTCCTCAGATATGCATTACTTAAAATAGGAGAGACTACCTGGGCTTTTGCCATATTTTCCAACATGGAAGATGCTTGAAATCTATTGCAGGAGGTTGAGGGCTTTCCTGCCATATTTACAGTCCTGAAAAGGTATTTATTAAATGTTAAGATCAGGTGTATTTACTGTTACTTTTTCATATTAAAGCTTCGGCATCCCTCAGAATCCTACTAAGTGGTGGAGTTAACTCATTTGTTAATGAGATAGCTGGCCCAGTGTAATGCTTTTGTGTTAAAAATGTTACTTGGAACATTCAAGATTTTCTTTAAAGTTTTAGTGTTCAAGTATTTCACCTCCTTTTCAGGTTTTAGAGAACAGGTTATGAGGTGTACAGGGTGTTCAACTTGTTCTTTTGTATATATTTGAAATTTTCATCAAAAAGAAAATAATACTCAACAAGAGACTGCTCCCAGCTCAGCCTTCCCTCCTAAAGGAAATGACTGTATGACCTGGCAAAAAGTATTTAAGGGCAATAAACCCCAGTAACCTAGGTTTTCTTTATATGAAAGTTATATACTGTAGAGTAATTTTCAGCATCTCACTTGTCCCTCCTTCAGCAATTGCCAGTGTTCAATAACTGGCAAACTGTTCCTAGTTGAAAAATAGAAGACACTTTTTGTAATTTATAGTTTGTAAGTGTGCAAACATTTAATGGAAGTTGTAACCTTAAAAAGTTTTTATTCAGATTTATTGTAGAGCAATTGAAAAGGGCAAATTATTCAACCTTATGTAGAGAACACATACACACACTTAAATTTATGTAGTTTTGAAATTTTTTTGCATAATTAATGACATGGAGACATTAATATTTTCCCTTGCCATTAAATATAATTCAAAGATATGTCGATGAACTATGTGATTTGTTCAGTCCCTAAGACAGACATTTTTGCTATTTTTTTCTCATTTATATTTAAAAAAGTAAAAATGATGGGATAATTGAAAATTTACTTGTCAGTTATAGTTGACATACAGTATTAGTTTCAGGTGTAAAATATAGTTATTAGACATTTATATACCTTATGAAGTGATCACCATAAGTCTAGCACCATACATAGTTACTACATTATTGCCTGTATTCCCTATCCTGTATTTTATATCCCATGACTATTTTTATAATTGGCCATTTGTATTTCTTAATTCATCCCCCTCCAGTGCCATCTGACAACCCTTAATTTGTTCTCTGTATCTATGAGTTTGTTTTTGTTGAGTTTATGGTTTTTTGTTTTTTTAGATTCCACATATAAGTGAAATTATACGGTATTCGTCTTTCTCTTCTGACTTATTTCACTTTGTAGTAATATCCTCTAGGTCCATCTGTGTTGTCCCAAATGGCAAGATTTCATTCTTTTTTATGACTGAGCAAAATATTCCATTGTATATACGTACTACATCTTCTTTATCCATTCATCTATCAATAGACACCTAGGTTGCTTCCATTTCTGGCTATTATAAATAATACTTCAATGAATATAGGGGTGCATATATCTTTTTTAGTGTTTTGGATTTCTTCAGATAAATACCCAGAAGTGAAAGAATTGCTGGGTCATGTGGTAGCTCTATTTTTAATTTTTTTTTTAAATTTATTGATTTTTTACAGAGAGGAAGGAAGAGAGATAGAGAGCTAGAAACATCGATGAGAGAGAAACATCGATCAGCTGCCTCCTGCACATCTCCCACTGGGGATGTGCCCGCAACCAAGGCACATGCCCCTGACCGGAATCGAACCTGGGACCTTTCAGTCCGCAGGCCGACGCTTCATCCACTGAGCCAAACCGGTTTCGGCTATTTTTAATTTTTTGAGGAACTTTCATACTGTATTCATAATGGGTGCACCAATTTATAATCTCACCAACACAGTACACAAGGGTTCCCTTTTCTCCACATCCTTGTTTGTTGATTTATTTTTACTATTTTTAAAAAATGTTTTTTATTAATTTCAGAGAGAGGAAGGGTAGAGAGGGATAGAAACATCAATGATAAGATTGATTCACTGATCAGCTGCTTCCTGCACAGCCCCTACTGGGAATTGAGCATGCAGCTCCAGCATGTGCCATTGACCAAGGATCAAACCGTGACCTGGTTTGTGGGTTGACGCTTAACCACTGAGGCACACCTGCCTGGCTGATTTATTGATAATAGTCATTCTTACTGATGTGAGGTCATCTCTCTTTGTGGTTTTGATTTGCATTTCCCTAATGATCAGTGATGTTGAGCATCTTTCCATGTGTCTGTCAACCACCTCTATGTCCTCTTTGGAGAAATATCTATATTCATGTCCTCTGTCCATTTTTAATCTAATTGTTTCTTCGATGCCAAGCTGTATGAATTCTTTATATATTTTGGATATTAACCCCTTATTGGATATATTATTTGCAAATAATTTCTCCAGTTCAGTAGGTTGCCTTTGTTTCTTCTGTGGTATAAAAGCTTTTGTTTGTTGTAGTTCCATCTGTTCATTTTTGCTTTTATTATCTTTGCCCTAGGAGACTTACTGCTAAGACCAATGCCCAAAATTTATTGCCTGTGTTTTCTTATAGTTTTATGATTTTAGGCCTGACATTTCAATTTTGTCTTTTAATCCATTTTTTAATTTTTGTATATGATGTAAGTGGTCTATTTTCATTTCTGGGATAAGATGTTTTTGTGTATGTTTCTATATTATGGTGAATTTCTATAAATGGAATTAGGATAGAAATTCTAAGGTTCCTCTGACATACTGCCAAATTACCACCCAGAAAAGTGATTACCAATTTGCATTTCTGGAAAACTATATGAAATATGTTGGTAAGCTTATAAAAAAAGCTTTCTCCAAAGATCTCACATTTTCCTTGTAAAGAATTTAAATGTCTATATAAAAAAAAAAGTATTAAAGGATTCAAAAGCCCATCAACCAGAAATAAATACTGTTATCTGGTGAACTTCATTCATTCCAACCATCTCTTATAGACATATGTGTACATATAATTTTACAAAAATGGGCTCATATGCTGTATTTAGTTTAAGTATAGCAAGTTAATTTTACTTGGATTTAACAAGATGAAAAAATGTGAAAGTGAAGAAATGCCCAACTTAAAAAAAATTTCTACAGCTGAAACCAGTTTGGCTCGGTGGATAGAGCGTCGGCCTGCGGACTGAAGGGTCCCAGGTTCGATTCTGGTCAGGGGCATGTACCTGGGTTGCGGGCACATCCCCAGTGGGAGATGTGCAGGAGGCAGCTGATCGATGTTTCTCTCCCATCGATGTTTCTAACTCTCTCTCTCTCCCCCTTCCTCTCTGTAAAAAAACAATAAAATATATTTTTAAAAAAATTTCTTCTACAAGAGAATCTAGTTCTGAGTTTCCCTTGAAAATTGAGGACAATTATAGAAAACATTTAAGAGGCTGGAATCATTTATTTTTAGTGTATGTATATTTTAAAGACAGTATGACTCCTGTTTTGAAAAAAATGAAACTAGCACACTTAAGAGTCCCTCAATTTCCTGGTTATATTACTTCTATATAGGCAATGTTCAAATATTTGAGTCTTATAACTTCCTTTTAATTTAATTTGCCCCCTACTGGGGATCAAGCCTATAAACTTATAGGGCATGTGCCCTTGACTGGAATCAAAACCGGAACCCTTCAGTCTACAGGCCCGACGCTCTATCCACTGAGCCAAAATGACTAGATCTGTTTTATTATCACTTTAGCTTTTATTTTTTTCCCTCCAACCTGTTTTCTCAATACCTTTATCTTGTATTTTGTTTTCTAAGGTTTAATTTTTCCAGTTTTTCATCTTCATTTACTCTCTTCCAAGTTAATTTTCCATCTCCTTTCATCTCTTCTTTGAACTTGTACATTTGCATTTAAAAAAAAACAGATCCATCACTGTGGAGAACTTCTTACTTTAACCCAGTGGTTCTCAACCTTGGCTGCACATTAGAATCACCTAGGAATCTTTTTAAAATCCTGATTTCTGGGCCTCATCCTCCGGAAATTGTTTCTTTGTTACTAATGATGAGGCCCAGAAATCAGGATTTTAAAAAGATTCCTAGGTGATTCTAATGTGCAGCCAAGGTTGAGAACCACTGGGCTAAGGTTAAGTTGGGTTGTTATATTAGCAGCCTCTCACCAAATCCATTATTTTCTTTGTCTCTGAGAACACATTTCTCCCTTTATTTTGTTAGTATTAAGAAGTCATGTGCCCTATGGTGAAGTTTTTAATGCAGTGTAATTTAAATTGTGGGAAGTGAAATCAATTTAGTGGTTTGCACCCAACATTAAAAACTGTTACTATATAGGAAACATCAGAATGCATTTTGCATAAGGAATAAGATTTCTTTCTTGAAATTTTTTTCAATACAGAACACATGATGCAAAATTTGTTTTACAGGCCAAAGTAAAAACAACAAGTTATAAAGCTACAGTTCCAAGGCCTCATTTACTAGACTGGCTAGCACATACATGACAGAAATGGCCCTTCAGCAGGATTTATCCTTAGGCTCCATCTCCTCTGCAAGCCTGTAATTTATCAAAACGATTTCCAAAGAGATGCTCATCATGTCCTACTCACTGTTCTTTTGTACTAACGAGAATAAGGACAGTCGGCTTCCTGCTATAGGTTGGCTATACTGCTCCAATTTGGTCCAGAGTTCACCATAAGCCTAATAAGTATGCTTGAAGTTTATAGTTTATATTTGGGGAGGTTTCTTTGTTATTAAAAATTGTTGAGGGGTTTTAAGACAAACATTTAAATATTTTAATGTACTGGAGGATTTGGTTGGCCCATAGGTTATTTAGCCAAAAGACATTTCTTTCTGCTTAGATCACAAGAAATAACTGCTAGGACTCTATAACAGATGTAAACAGAGGTGCTTATATTTAATTTTTAAAGGCAGTCATATATAGTTGTATGATAAACCAAAATAGCTCTGATGGACAACTCTTATTAGCTGAAGTATCTTCAAAAGAAGAATCATTGAAGAATTTGAAATCATGAAAATGATGCTCAAATGCTTTAATATTGCTGCAACAATCCTTCAGTTCAATAGCAAGCAATAGATTGTGAATCCTGTGACCAGATATGGCTTTCCAAGAAACTGGATCCATCCTGTGAGGCAGTTGGTATTCACAATTCTTGTTGGGACCAGAGCTGCAGGAAGTCATTCAATCACTTTTCCATTTTTAAAGGAGGAAAGGTAAGTACAGGTAAATGGAACTTTTCTAGCAAAGATCCCAACATCCTCTCCTCTTGATTATCAATGCCCATGAACATTTTTGTTGTTTGTTGTTAATCCTCACCAGATGATGTCCCCCCCCACCTCCCCCCCTAATTGCTTTTTTCGGAGGGAAACATCAATGCTAAAGAGACCCATGGATTGGATGCCTCACGGATGCATCAAGACTGGGGTGGGGAGTGAACCTGCAACCCAAGTACATGCCCTTGACTGGAAATTGAACCCATGACCCTTTGCTTTAACCATTGAGGCACACCGGCCAGGGACCCCATGAACATTTTTCAGTCATTCTGCTTCTGCGTCCTCTTCTAATTCTCCTTTCTGAATGATTCATTGCAGTTTTCAACCCATGACTGCACTTCTTCCTCTCAGCAGTGCTGTTGCCTATGATTCTATTATTGGCTTTTCCTACATATACAAACACTCCTGGGGCACTCTTTTTAATTCTGCACATCCACAATTATCCAAACATTGTCAATTCAAGGCTAGCTCACTATGTTCAACTCCAGTTCCTAGTTCCAACTTTCTGGGCTTTGCCTAGACATACTATAGTTGTCTAAAGTTAAACTGATTGAATCATTTTCACTACAACTTCCACTACCTGCCCCTGTAAATCCTGGTCTCTTCCTGCTATATTTTCTGGCTTTGTGAATGGCACTATTGTCCAACAATTCAGGTCAAAACCCTGAGTGACATTACCTTTTCAATCTTGTTGCCCTACTGCTACTGACTAGACTTGGATAATGTCAATTCTTGTAGAATAAAGGCTGAGCATCTTAACCTGGAATTCAAGGCTTGTGGAAGGAGAAACAATATATAAGAATGCTGTATAAAAGGTGTTAAATTTTACTGTTTGTTGAACTGTTCAGTGCAACTGGATTAAATGATCCAGAAGAAGCCTTGCATTGCATTATTTTCTTACAAAACTGCTATTAATCAGTTCTCATGTTTATTATCACTTGCTACTGCTGGGGGGGAAAAGCATTAATGTTTTACTAACTTGATCTTTGAATATAACAGCAGCAGCACAAATCTTAGGGTTCTCAAAACAGTTCCAATCAGGGAGCAAACTAAAAATGAAACCACAGAAAGATGGAATGTTAAATTTAATAACAAAAGGATCACTAGGCCGCCATATCCTCTCCTTGTCATACATACCCTCCACTTCCCAAATCCTCAGTGTTTGTTGTACAAGGGATCAAAAGCAGCCCTTGGGGAGCATTATCCCTCAAATATGGATTAGGATTCAAAAAGAGATACAAAACTAAGCACCTCTTTCATTACCAAAAACAAACAAAAAAATGGACTTTCAGGTTAAAAAACAAAAACACCCTAAAATAGTCTTATAGCTGCCGTGGGAGTAGATCTTAGTCCTTCCACATAGAGAGATGACTTCATATTTGCAGGAGGCTCTTTGGACTAAACCTAAACTGAGTCCATTACTCATTTCCTCTCCGGCTCTTCTTGTGGCTTTTCTTAGATCTGAAATGGCAACACATACACATTATTAAATTTAACAGCTGTTCAAGGAGCTGGGCAAGGACTTTTGAGAAAAACTGGGATATGGTGACACTGATGGGAACAGAGGTGACACAATATTCATTAAATGGCCTGGTGTTTTATGTCTCAGAGTAACACAATGAGTCTAGCTAGCATTACTGTCCAAAATTTACTACTGAGGAAATGACCTCTGAGAGATTAAGAATGAATGTTAACAGTGTATAGCATATAGACATTTCTATTTAAAGCTTATCAAATGAAAGTGACTTGTCCATTGTCACTCTGTTAAAAGTGTTAAAAGTTGGGGTTAAGCTCAGGCCTCCTGAGACCAAAGCTCATACCCCTATCACCTACAAGGAAAAACAAAACATAAACATATAATTCTAGTAATTCTCAGGACAACAGGCCAATTTTCTCCTGTAATGAAGGAGAATTCCTAAATATCCCCATCAAAACAAAATTTCAGGTAAAATTTAATTGTGATTGGGGCTTTAATTTCTGAATAAAGAGTGAAATTCTCAAGTCAAAACAGGTCAATCCATACCTTTCAGGAGATTTTGAGTGGCTCCTGTGTCTATGACTACGGTGATGACCTGGAAAAGAATAGGCCATTAATGAATGAGATTCTACCCTCCTATTCCTCCAGAGTCATTTTCACCCCCCCCAAAACCTCCCACTGGCATAATACTTTTTTGGTCTATGCTAGGGACATCTCTGTTGGATAGCACCTCTCTGAATTGGTGTGTGTATGGTGGTGAGGAGAAATGAACCCACTTCATATGCATCCAGGGCTTTATGGCTCATTACACAAACATCACATTGAGTATTTATTTACCACCACTCTATTAAGTCTTAGTCCTAACATTTCAGATGATGAAAAAACTGAGGCTCCTCCTCTTAACAGCAAAGCCTGTAAATGAGAGTCATGATGTCAACTCTTAATTTTTAAATTCTAAGGCCATTTCCTTTTCTTCTAAGCAATAACACAAGCACTACAGTATTGCAAGAGGTTAACTGTTCCTATTACATTTCTTTGTTAATACAACCAATAGCAAAAGGCCCAAATGTTATACCTGGGGACTTGGAGCGGGATCTGTGCCGTCTATCTCGGGACCGGCTGCGGTGACGTCTTGGACTCTTGCTCCGATGCCTCTCTCGGCGAGGGGAAGGGCTGTGGAAATGACTGGTCAGACTCCCATATCTGCCTGACAATTTAATTACAAAAACAGTATCCCCTCCGTCCCCCTTCCCCCAATTCCTATCCTTCATTACAAAAACCCACAAAGGCCTACCTCCTCCTTTTTGGAGACCGACTCCGCCTATATGGAAAGAAAACAGATGAAGAAGAGCCTTAGTAGGTAGGTGCCTTGAATGTTGTAGACTGCAAAATATTGCCCCAATTTTTAACCCATCTCTTTTGTCATGTAACTTTTAGCACCCTCCCACTCCAAGTGACTTGCTTTGGCCAATGGGATATTTACAGATGTGATACAAGCGTATAGTGGAAAAAAACTTGCATGATTGGTCTTGTTTGCTCTTGAATTCTGCCATTACCATGAGAACGTGCCTAACCTAGCCTAGAATGAGACATACATAGAGAAGAGATGAATTGCCCCAGTCATCCTAGCTAACTAAGGCCATCTTGTATTGGCCAACAGACTACAAATCAGGTGAGTGAACATAACATACTAAAAAACTGCCTGTCCAAGCCCAGCTTATTATCACTGACTGCAGACTTGTGAACTTAAATAAATGGTTATATTGTCTGCCACTGAGGTTTTGTGGGTGGTTATTTTCCAGCAACTAACACATTGGGCAAGCACACATTCTCCATAGACTGGCATCTTTCCTTCCCTGAAGTCCAAACCTTGACTCTACAGTGCTTAAAATCTCCCTGGAAGAGGCAAATGACTAGGGCCTTACCTTCTGGGAGACCGGCTCCTACTTCTCCTGTAGCGCAGTGTGGGAGAGCGACGGGGCTTGTCCAAGTCTCGGTAGCTTCTCCGGCGGTGATCAGGTGATGGTACTCTCTCCAACTATAAATGAGATAAATGAGATAGATGGATCAGTGATGAGCACAGGCTTATAGAGAGCCATTTAGAAACACTTGCTACACTCCCCTCCCTATCCTGTCCCAAATTCTACTTTTAAGTGATTTTTTTTATTTCAGAGAGGGAGAAGGAGATAGAAATATCAATGATGAACATCAATGATGAGAATCATGCCTCCTGCATGCCCTCCACTGGGGATCGAGCCCAAAACCTTGGCATGTACTTAAACATGGAGGGATAACTCTGAGGAGGAAAAAAACTCCAATTAAAAAAACTTTTCAATAATTCCATTATTGTGCTAGTGTTGGTACCATTATTCTGGGACTTACTGAGAGTAGTGAGATATAACTAATCATGTTTATCTCCTTAAGAAGTTAAATTTCCAATGCAAAAGAAGACATATAGATGTAAAATCATTAAGGTTAAGTACAAACTCATGGTGTACTTTAATCTTAAAAAAAAATTTCCTCTAGCTCAGCCAACTACAAAAGCCTAGCTTGTAACACTGCCCAAACCCAGAGCAATAACCACGTATAGTACCCAAGTTATGGTATCTAAATATTATGTCTCAGTAAATGGAACCAAAGACTCCTTGGAAAATGGCTAATTCCAGGTTGGGGGCAGAAGCTAGTAAAAGATGACTAGAACATATTGTCATATCAGAAAGCAAGGGGCTGAGGATACTATGATTATATCAAACTCTCACAAATCAAGTTGAAGGACCGCACTGTCCAAAGATGGGGCATTGTTAGCATCAAGAGGGACAGTAATGTTTCAAAGCATAAAACAATGCTTAAATCCAAGAGTTTACAATGCTACCAAGAACATTCATCTTGGAAGGCTATTCTAGAATCAACTCATTTTAAAAACTGACAAATGAAATGTTAAGATGCTTCAAGGTAATTGGTGGGAGGGCAAATGGGTAGAGATGTGGAGGAAACAAACTGGCTATGAGTTGATCACCATTGAAGCTAGGCTGATGGGTAAACTGAAGTACAATCTCTCCACTTTGGTATGTGATTAAGATTTCCCATTTTAAAAAAGGCCTATTTTTGGTTCACTCACCACCGAAAAGCACCTCAGCTTTACATGGCTTTGAATTCATGAATGATTGTGCTTCCTTCTACACTCAACTTTCAGGGAGTCTGATGGCTCAGAGTTACACTTCCATTTGTAACGTCTCAGACTCCATGAGCCAGTATTTCTTGTATGTTCCGCTAACCTTTTTCCATATGTATATTCTTTCTTGAATTTTAATCACAAATGTTTTAGGTCCTTCTTTTTTAACTTACCATAAGCATATCCACATTATAAAGAGAAAACTGGGATTATGTAATTTGCACAAGATTATACTACTATATACAGCAGAGCTGAGATATGAACCAATGTCTAACTCTAAAGCCCATATTCTTATTGACTAAATACTGCATTTTTTGGTTAAAGTTAAAAACAACAAAAAAGCATCATTCCCATTCCCTGTAACTATCCTTCACCCTTAAGCTCCCAGGTACCTGACCTTCTCATCCTCTTCTTCCTCTTCCTCACTGGACTCGACATCATCCATGTCCTCTTCTAGAGCGCTAACCCGAGGCTCCAATTGCTCAGCTTCCTCTAGCACATAGCGTTTCTACAGAAAACACAATGAGTGTTAGTGGACCTTGATATCTATGTCCAGAAGCCCCAACACTGGGCTCCTGAGATTGATTTCAGAGACATCCTTGACAGTTTAAAATGCTCATAAGGTGTTTAACATACCTGAAATCTATATAATCTTTAAATTCCCCTGTAAACAGATACAAAGCTGAAGGGACATCTCCATTTCCTGTTGGTTATATTCTCTGTGACCTTATACTCCAAGGTCACTGGGATATCAATCAAGATAGGGATAGCCTCAAATAAAAAAATGTGGACTTCATATATAAGGGCCATAAGTTCATGGCTGAAAGTTCTGCCAGAAATGGCTCAGATCAGAATCTACCCCAACAGATCCACTGAGGCTCAGCCCAGTTTGGAGGCTGAAGAGTATATTGGGTCTTGTTTTAGAATAGCACCAATTCTCTATAAAACCCAAGATTCAGAGAGCTGTCTAGAGTCATGCATTTTTAACAAGGCACAGGAAACAAACAATCTGGTTCCATTTTCTTCTGAGATGTGGCTTAGCAGTGTTTACTGAGTGATAAAGGATCCGAGAGGCAAAGGTGAGTTCAAAACTGCCAAATGGACTGGCTGGGTCATAAGATCCCTTACCATTTCCAGGTGCCAAGTACATAAAGAATGTTGGATAGCCATAGAATAAATAGTAACATTTGTATGTTACTTAACTCTCATTCATCCCTAAAAACATTCTATAAAAGTTGGTAGAAATGAGACAGAAAGATGCCACTCAGTGAAGTCAATCCATCAGAAAAATGCTGTCCACTCAGGATTACCATAGTTTGGGATCTAGGATCACATCAGATAGGGTATCCAGAATCCCTAATGCTCACCAGACTTGGCAGTGAATAAAGTCAATATATAATCCATAGTATTTGTGTTGATGAAATTAGAATTCATTCCACAAGCTCCTTGCCAATGTCAGGGCACATCAGAAACTAAACTGATCTATGGGTTGCTTACTAAGAACAGAATCAGAGCAAGAGGGTCACTTCTTAAAGGTCACTTAATCCAAGACATGTAAGAGGCCCACACTAGAACACACCTCTTGCTGACATAACATGTATCTGTCAAATTTCAATTTCTCAGACTTGTTTTATAGTCTTCTAGACTCCATGCAGACCACCTCAAATCAGTAAGTTTGCTTCAAGCTGACTGGGATTTGGAACCCTTAGCTAAACCCTGACTGCAATTCTGAGTATTTCATTTCTTGCAGTATTTCTAAAAATAACAATAGCAGACAATATGATAATAACTAATGTAATCCATAATGCGTAAGAGAATTGGGTCCTAAAAGCCAGTTTTCAGACTTGAAATCTCATTCTCTTCACCACATGGCCTATAGTATCCATCCAGTAAGGAACAGGAGAGAGACACTCATTCAGCAATAAAAGGAAATAAACTATTAATACATGTAACAACATAGATGAATTTAAAAACAATTATGCTGGGGAGAAGACAGACAAAAATTAGAATGTACTGTACTAATTCCAAAATGCAACTAATCTATCATGACAAGTAGCATATATATCAGTGGTTGAATGGGGTGGGGGGGAGGGATTACAAAGAAGGAAACTTTTGGGTGTGATGGATATGTTCACTATTCTTAATTGTGATGACAGTTTCAAGAGCATATACACATATGTCAAAACTTGCCAAACTGTATACTTTAAGTATACGTAGTTTATGTCAATTATACCTTAAATAGAGGCCCGGTGCACAAAAATTTGTGCACTCGGGGGGGAAGGGGGGGGTCCCTCAGCCTGGCCTGTGCCCTCTCGCAGTCTGGACCCCTCGGGAGATAACGACCTGCTGGCTTAGGCCTGCTCCTGGGTGGCAGAGGGCAGGCCCAATCCCTAGGTGCAGCCCCTGGTCGGGCTCAGAGCAGGGCTGACTGGGGAGTTGGGGTGCCGCCCCCTGTCATGCACAGAGCAGGGCGGATTGGGAGGTTGCGATGCCACCCTCCGTCACGCTCAAGGTAGGGCTGATTGGGGGGTTGGGCCCCCGCCCCCTATCACACTCAAGGCAGGGTCGATGGGGAGGTTGCGGGGCCACCCCCTGTGATGCACAGAGCAGGGCCAATCAGGGGGTGGGGGAGCTCCCCCCTGTCACACACACAGCAGGGCGGATCAGGGGGTTGGGGCTCCACCACTGTCACACTCAGGGCAGGGCCGATGGGGAGGTTATGGCTCTACCCTGTCACACACAGAGCAGGGCCCATCAGGGGGGTGAGAAGCTCCCCCCTGTCACGCACAGAGTAGGGCCGATAGGGGAGTTAGGGCACCGCCCCCTGTCACACACACAGCAGGGCGGATCAGGGGGTTGGGGCTCCACCACTGTCACACTCAGGGCAGGGCCGATGGGGAGGTTATGGCTCTACCCTGTCACACACAGAGCCACAGGGCGATCAGGGGGTTTGGGCGCTGCCCCCTGTCACGCTGATCCGGTGCCAGGAGGCCTCGCGGCTCCGCTGATCCCGGTGCTGGGAGGCATATTACCCTTTTACTATATAGGATAGAGGCCTGGGGGCTGGCTGGTTTGCCCTGAAGGGTGTCCTGGATCAGGGTGGGGGTCCCCACTGGGATGCCTGGCCAGTCTGGGTAAGGGGCTGAGGGCTGCTTTCAGGCTGGCAATTGACTGAAGCTCCCAACCACTCCTTGTTTTCTTTTTTTTTTAATTCTGGGCCAGCTTTAGCTCTGGCTCTAGCTCTGAGGCTTCCGCTGCTATAATCGAAACAATGTATAACTCTAGCTCTGAGATCCCGCTGGCTGAAAGCTGATTTCTGGGGTTTTGTTTAGCTACTACATTTGCAACATAGTACATAGTTTCTTAGAGTTGTAGCTCAGAGGCCGTCAAGTCAGGCGGGGGTTGGAGTCTGCAGTCACTGAAGCAAACCTCATGTTCGCTTCCAGCTGCCTGGCTGCCGGCTGCCATCTTGGCTGACAGTTAATTTGCATAAGGATATGCTGATTAGCCAATGGGAAGGGTAGCTCGTACGCCAATTACCATGTTTCTCTTTTATTAGTGTAGATAAAGCCATTTAAAAGAAAGCCTTTGCTCAAATGAAATCTCACTCTCAAGCCCAATATGTTACTTAGAGAAAAAGGTGCTGCTCTGGTCGGCAAATGTAAGGCTGTCTCCTCTTATTCCTTCCAGTAGCCTTAAAATAGTCCCAAGGGGCAGACCACTAGTTAATCTAATTTTTGATTTTATAGATGGGAAAATAAAACCAGGTCCCACAGCAAGTCAGTTGTAATAATAACCCAGAAACTTAGGTCTCCTAATTCCCTGTTCAGTCATCTCTCTACTCTCTCTTTAGAAATCTCCATTCCCTTTCTCTTTAGCTACCTACTATATCTGTTTTCCCTTTGTATTTTCAACAGTTTTAAAATCATACTCTGTAAAAGCTGTTTTGAGAGGTATTTCATGGACAATCATTTATCTCTGGGAAAGGGAGACAGGATGATTACAGTGCTATTTTAGGGATTAAAGTCTATTCTTACTCCTGACCCTCCTTTTATTTGTTTAGTATCCTAAATTTTTATATGAAGGTCAATTTGAAAAAAGCTGCTCACAAATTTTAAAAATTTACCCTAGCTACAGTGTCCTTGACACAACATTTTAAAGAACAAAGTCTTTTTGTGTTAATCACCTTTAAAGCCCTACCCTTCAAATTATCTGCTTTCCTCTCACCTCCAATCTGCTATGTTTTCATAGACATGTAGACTACTTATTTGGGGGGTTAAATTAGGGGGGAGTGACTCACATATGAGACTTTTATCTCTTACCTGTAGCCGGGGCAGAATGATATCACAGACTCTCTCACTGTGTAGTAGTTCATCAATGAACTCATCTACGTGCATCAGTTCAAACTCTAATAAAAGAAAAATCGTAAGCTCAACCATTTGGAAATAAATTTAGGTAGCCAAAAAGTAAGTGTGAATTCTTTGCAGCTTCCTTTTCACTAGTGAAGCTATTATGCTGTGGCAATTACACAGAAGGGAGTACTGTTAAAGCTGGGCTTAAACCAGCCGTGTGCAAACTACGGCCTGCGGGCCAGATCCGGCCCGTTTGAAATGAATAAAACTAAAAAAAAAAAAAGACCGTACCCTTTTATGTAATGATGTTTACTTTGAATTTATATTAGTTCACACAAACACTCCATCCATGCTTTTGTTCCGGCCCTCCAGTCCAGTTTAAGAACCCATTGTGGCCCTCGAGTCAAAAAGTTTGCCCACCCCTACTCTAATATATACATATTCAGTTTGTATACACACTAAGTCTTTCCATAAGTCAAGAAAAAAAAGGAAGTGCAAGCAAAACAAGTGTAGGTTCCATATTAGAGAAGATTTATTCAGTATAAAATTTCCCATTAATGAGGAGAAGTAAAAGATAATTATCTAGGAAACACAAACACCCATCCATGCTTTTGTTCCGGCCCTCCGGTCCAGTTTAAGAACCCATTGTGGCCCTCGAGTCAAAAAGTTTGCCCACCCCTGGCTTAAACTAAGCCCTTTGAAGCCTTCACCACCTATCTTCATTCAACTCACATTTATTGAGACCATCTATGTGCCAGGCCTTATTTAGGAGTTGGGGATAAAAGGATAAATGAAGCTGTCCCAATTAGCAGGAGACAAACGCAAAAGCAAGCACAAATAGTTGTGAATTGCACAGGGGTAATGTTCTTGAATAGATCATATAACTAAAGTGTAATTTCTGAATATAAAATGCGTCTTCTATGGTAAATGGAAAAATTTCAGAATTTCTATAGTAAACATTACTTTAGTTCATTAGTTCACAACCACGGGTGATTTTACCCCCCCATTTCTAGGGTGGGGAGTGCTACTGGCTTCTAATGAGTGGAGGCCAGGGGTACTGTTAAATATCCTACAATGCACAGGACAGCTCCCTACAAAGAATTATATGGCCCAAACTGCCAATAGATCAAGAAACCCTATATTACTTTAGTTAACATAATCCTATATAATAAAACCCTAATATGCAAATTGGCCAAACGACAGAATGACCGGTTGCTATGACGCGCACTGACCACCAGGGGGCAGATGCTCAACACAGGAGCTGTCCCCTGGTGGTCAGTGTGCTCCCACAGAGGGAGCGCCGCTCAGCCAGAAGCTGGGCGCTCAGTCTGTGAGCGCAGCGGTGGTGGCGGGAGCCTCTCCTGCCTCTGCTCTGGGTGGTAACAAGCGAGGGGTCCCAGACTGCGAGAGGGATGTCTGACTGCCATCCTCATCGGGCCTAAGCTGGCAGGTGGACAACCCTCAAGGGGTCCCAGACTGCGAGAGGGCACAGACCAGGCTGAGGGACACCCCTCCCCAGTGCACAATTTTTGTGCACCAGGCCTCTAGTATAATCATAAATAAGTAATTCCATAATGGTCATGGCCATGTCCTTCTTGTTCACCATGTTATTTCCAGTACATAGCAAACAATAACATGATGAACAAGATGGGGGCCATGGCCATTATGACTTGGCACTTAATATGTATTTATTCAATAAATGAGTTAGTAAGTTAACAAAAGTTTAAAGTATAATTTCAAATTCTTAACCTTCTACAGCTTAATGATACATGTAGAAGGGAAAGGCAAAAAAAAAGTTACCAATTTTTTACTGCACTAAATGAGAAAAGGTTTTGATTGCACTAACCCACTTTACCACTAAAAGTGTCTCTGTAAGAGGCATGGAGCTGCACCTCTTGGATATACTTACTATTTTTCAGTGGGACTCCTACATAAGTATGAGTAAGTACACTTAGTTTATATACTATAGAGTGAAGTATAGTGCTAGAGAGGCCAGCAGAAAGAACTGTGAAGTTGTAACATGGAAAACTAACTTTGGGAGGTTTGGGGAAGGCTTTTATGGTGGTCATTCTAGAGCTAAATCTTATGGAATGGAGCACATGTGGAGGGAGCAAGTGATGCAAGGCTGGGATTAAAATAAGCTGCAGTCAGGTGCTCACTTCAGCAGCACATATACTAAACTTGGAACACTACAGAGAAGATTAGCATAGCCCCTGCACAAGGATGGCACACAAATTGATGAAGCATTCCATCTTATAAAAAAAAAGATGCAGTCAGAAAGGTGGGCAGATATGGCAGGGGGGTTAAGGCCAACAGGAGGCTAATAGTCTAATGAAGGAGATAAAGGGAAACACTCACAATGTATGCGACTATGTGAGGGCAGAGATACTGGTGAAATAAAAACTGGCTCAGGAATGAAGGTTCAATCACATGGTACCATACTTACCTCCATTTCGGTTCTGGCTCTTAATTTTTCTATAATCATTGTACAGAGGCTCCAAGTATTTGTAGCAATCAATTGCAGTACCTGTCAGCCTCATATAAAGTGCTCCCAACATGCGTACATACCTGACAGATAAATGACAGTGAAACAATAGTTACTAAAAAGTTCTAAAAGATTCTAAAAGTTCATCCTGAAAAGTTCCTGCGTTTTACAACTGGCTTTTCTTATGACAGTATTGGATAAACAAGTTATTTTTCTTTGGCAAATGAGAAAGCTGCAATTTTAGAGGCAGCATGGGGCCGTAGGAAGAGCTAAAATATGGAGTCCTGGGTTCAAGTTCCCATTCTACCACTTATTAGTTGTGGGAATTTGGGATGTGTTGTTGTTAAACTTTCAGAGTCTATTATATCACCTGCAAAATTAAGATAAAACCTATTTACCTCAGATAAATAGTCTAATGAGTTACTAAATTTAACAACAGAAAGCGTAAGATATATTTACTAACAAGAACTAATACACATAGACATGAATACATAAATTGTTGCTAGGCAGCAAAATGCTGATTCAGGAAGAATTTCAAAATCATCTGGGTTCAAATTCTGGTTCCATTACTTACTTTGTTATTTGCTTTCTCAATTCTTGTAAAATGCAAAAGATAGCACCTAATTTGCTGGTGTGGTATATGACGAAATACGGGTTCAATACTAAGTATAGCATACAGCACATAGTAAGTACCTAATAAAAGTTAGCTATTTTCTAGCTGTTAATGTTTTGTAAGATTCTTTACTTTTCCCTTTCTTTTATATCCAACTACCCATCAAATCTCCACTTAAATAATATGGTAGCAAAGAATATGGTATCTGCAGCCAGCTTTGCCTCTTTTTACCTGTCTGTGAACTATTACTATGTATGTCTCTTGTCTGTGAGCTCCTTGAGAATAGATAATAAAATAAGAGCAGCTCACATTTTGGGATGTTTACTATGCAACAAACACTGTGCAGTGAAATTTATAGCACTATCTTCTGTAACCCTCACATCTATCCTGAGTTGATATTTCTGTCTCCATTTTACAAGTAAAGAAAGTAAAGTTTAGAAATTAAGTACTTTTCTAAGGTCAGAGTTAATAAGTAACAGAGTCTGGACATGAACCTATATCTAACACCAAAGTCTTCCCTCTTATCTTCCACAGCATGTTTTCTTTACCCCTGAGCATCAGTGATTTTGTGAAATACTTTTTTGGGGGAAAAGTTACCAATGCTGGAAAAGTAAAGAAGCTCAATCAAAACAGACAAAATACAAATTTAAGAGTTCAAAAGCAAAATCCTAAAGTGGGACTCTCTGGGACTCTGAGATACGTTATCACTCCTCTTAACCAAAAGCAAATTCTGGACTACTGAAATTGAAGCTTTTATATTAGTCAACATTTTACTCACTTGAAATCTTCATTTTTTATAAACTCAACAATGATATCCTTCTCTGGTTGAATCTGAAGCATCTTCAAGGTCAAACACAGAAAGGGAGTTGGCTTTATGTTGCCACCATAGACGCCACCGACAAACCTTAACTCCATGGCTTTATCAACTACAAGTTCAGCTAAAACAAACAAAAAAAACAACACACAAAACAGTGGCATCTCAGACATATTAGGGCTTAGCTTTTCCCGATTTGAAGAGAAGTTAGTTCAAGGTTTGGCCCTCCTGAATACTCATCAACAGTTTAATATTAGGATAACAAATGTGCATTTAATAGTAATAATAACAGGTGATGAACATAGCAGCTAACATACACTGATGAATTACTATATACCAGGCTATTAGCTAAGCATTTCATTTAATTTTCACAACAAACCATGAGTTTAAGTTCTAGCTTAAGAACCTAAGAAAGGTTAAGTGACTTGCTCAAGGTCCACAGCCAGAAAGTAGCAAGGCCTGGATTTAAATCTAAGCTGTCTAACTTCAGAGTCCACGCATGTCACCATCATGTTAGGGGGAAAATCTGGAGTTAATAATGAGATGTAGGAATATCCAATCCTGTAGATAATTTTATGAAAGTTTATCTGAGCCAAACTGATGATATGCCAGGAAGCAAGATCTCAGCTCTGGAGAATGACAGTTTTGCATTTCTTTTTTAAATATGTTTTATTGATTTTTTTACAGAGAGGAAGGGAGAGGGATAGAGAGTTAGAAACATCAATGAGAGAGAAACATCGATCAGCTGCCTCCTGCACACCCCCTACTGGGGATGTGCCCACAACCAAGGTACATGCCCTTGACCGGAATTGAACCTGGGACCCTTCA